CGTCACGCACCTCATGAAGCGGATCCAGAGGGGCCCGGTGCGCGGCATCTCCATCAAGCTGCAGGAGGAGGAGCGGGAGCGCAGGGACAACTACGTGCCCGAGGTGAGCCGGCGCCCCGCGCCCGTGCGCCGGACACTTGGCGGGGGGCCGCGCGGGGCCGCGTCGTGACGGCCGCGCTGTCTTGCAGGTCTCGGCGCTGGACCAGGAGATCATCGAGGTGGACCCCGACACCAAGGACATGCTGAAGCTCCTGGTACGTGGCCGCGGGCTCCCGGGCTGGGGGCGAGAACAGGGCAGCGCCGCGAGCAGAGTGCCCGCCTGCGGGTGGGGGCCGGTGCGGCTGAGTGGGGAGCAGCGCCCCAGGGCAGAGTCCGGGGGCTCCAGGGACCCCTTTCTGGTTTTCGCCCGGCGGAGCGGCCCGCTGCCGGCTCCGCCCACACGCACCCTCTCGCCCTCCAGGACTTCGGCAGCCTGTCCAACCTGCAGGTCACCCAGCCCACGGTGGGGATGAACTTCAAAACGCCGCGGGGGGCCGTGTGACTTCTGCGCCTCGCGTTTCCAATAAACTCTGGACAGCCGCTTGGCCGTGTGGTCTCTGGGCGGGGCGCCGCGGGAGCCGAGCTGGTCAGCTGCCTGCCCAGGTGCGGGGCGCAGGGAAGTCGCCACGTCCTTCTGCTGGTCCCAGGCATGGACGCCCCGGGGCAGCTGTCACCCAGTGGGTGGCTCCCAGCGCAGGGCTGTGGTCCAGCTGTTGGAGAGAGGACCCCTGGGCAGGTGGCCGCGGGCAGTGGGAGGAGCCCGTCAGCCAGCACCCAGGTGGGGGGGGGGCCTCAGCGCCCGCTGCCGGGGCTCCGCAGCTCCGGAGAGGGGCGGGCACGTGCCCCGCGACCCCCAGGCAGCAGAGCTCGTCGTGGGGAGCCAGGAGGCCCTCGGGGTGCTGCAGGGCTGCGGGGAGACGCCCTCCTCTCCCAGAGCCACCGAGTGAGAAGCTTGAAGACTCGGAAAGGGAAATGGCGCTGTCTCCGGAGAGCGGTCCTTCCCACGGGGCGACGCCGGTCCAGTTCTCAGTCCAGTTTCCAGTGTCCCTGGGGTGCGTTCCGCCCACCCCGCCCCAGGATTGGGGTGTCCGCTGCTGGGCTTGGCCGGCTGCTACCTCCTGGCAGTCGGCCCCGGCGCTGCAGGGGTGGGTGGGGTGCCCTGTCCTGGCACATGCGGAGGCAGGAGAGGGTCTCCCGGGATGGTGGCTGGGCGCCTCGGTCAACAAGCACCTGTCGGCCTTCAGCGGCAGCAGCAGGGGTGGCTCCTTGGGGTGGGTCCGGCTCTGGGCCTGGAGTCCAGGTGCATGGGCGGTCCCTCGCCGCTCGCCCTCCGCGCCCCGCCAGCGGGGCTCCCGCCTCCTTTGGCAAAGACCCTGCTGCCCTCCCCGGGCTCGGGAGTCCGGCTGGCCGGCAGGAGCAGGCGCCATCTCCCCTGCGGGTTCCCTGGGGGCGGCTGGCGGCTGCGCTTTGCCCTGTCCTGCCTAGCGACTTGCCGGGCCTCAGTGGGCTGCAGTGGGTGGCCAGGCTCGCCCCTGATTGCTGACTGCAGGTGCTGGGCGAGGCCCAGGGGTTTGTGTTTGGGGGTTAATGAGCTGGTCTCCGGGCACGTGGGTGCGCCTCCCCCGGCTGGGATTCGCCCCGCTAAGGGGCGGGGCGGGACGGGCACGGGCTTAGCCACATCCGGCCGGCGCCCCTGGCCCTGGGCTTCTCCGGGCTGCTGGGCGGCTCGGCGCCGCGCGGCAGGAGCGACCCGACAGCCTTGAGCCCTCCGCGTCAGGGAGCCACGGCCCCTTCGCCACGGGAGAGGACCGGGGCGCGCAGGTGAGCTCTCGCTTTCTCTCTGCGCCGGACCTGGGCGGGTGGTTGTGTTACAGGTGTTTTCCACAGGTGACTTGACTGATGCGGACTCCAGTGGGCGCGTTGGGCGTCGGGGCGCCCCCGGGGTGCAGGCCGAGGCGGCCTCTGTAGGGAGGTC